CAGAACTCCAACAATGTCCTCATAATCCTTATTCGTCACCAACTCAGGTTTGAAGTTATCGACCAGAATCTTGAATGGTTCTGGACCAACTTTAGAGAGAAGGATATTCTTATCTCTGGTTTGTTGAGATCATGTATTGCAAGTTCTATCTCGAATCTTTGCAAGTAATAGTCCCATTCCTCTCTCTCGGGACAAAATTTATCGAATTTGAAGCTGATCCCATCCTCGTCGCCAAATGTAGTATTATCAGATAAAGAGTTGCAATAGAACGACAAGTAACTTTATTTCTAATTACAAACTGACACATAACATCAAAACCTCAGACATTCCCATGCTGACTGTCACTGGTACCTCATACCGAGTGTAGTCATACCACAGCGGCATTATTCGTTTCACAAAAAAAGTGAAAAGGTAATGTGAAAACCTGTCTCCAAATATTACTGCGAAATCGCGCAAAAGCATTGAAAACTGGACACATGTTCAGTACCTATACCGGGTGTCAACGAATCTATTAGACAAGTCATAACTTCTAGACTATCAGGTGTATCAAAATGAGATTTGGTATAGGTGAATGGCGAGGTGAATGGTATGTGAAGAGGAGACTTTTCACTTTCCGGTCACTTCCGGTTTCACCGGAAATGGCTCCGGTTCTAAATTTTCAAATGGAACACCCTGTATATTGTAACATTTTTGGATTTCTGAGACAATTCTATAGATCAGAATGTGATAGTTTCGAAAGTTTTCATGCCCATTTAATTTTTTCGGAGTCACTTTTGAAATAACATCTATGTGGCCATGATCGGAAGTAAACTAATCTAAGGACCTCAGGTGATATCAGGAAATTACAATCGCGAAGTTTTAGTGACAAGTATGTTAGATATGAATAAGACAAGTTGGCAAAATCACATTTTCGTGTCTAACTATTTTTTTTCCAAATGTTGACCATTTTTTAACAAGCACTTCCCGAAAAAAGGATATTTTGACGAATGTAACGATACTAATTTATTTGCGATTGGATCAACAAATTCAACAAAATTAACAATAACTTCAGCGATGCACGTACATTTCTTTCAATTTCCTAATTTCTTAAAATTTTCACTATAGTAAATTTTCAAAGTGCATTCCTCCTTGTTCGAGACACATTTCAGCTCGTTCAATTGTTTCTCCCAATACGTTTCGTAAGATTTGTGGCGTTATACTTCTAAATGCCTGTATATAGAATCCTTTCTTCTAAGATTTCGAGAGTGGCTGGGGCTGTTGCATAGTAGACCCTTTCTTTGACATATCGCCATATAGTTTACTTCCGATCTTCCGAAAATTAAGTAGGCAAAAAACTTTCGAAAATGTCACATTCTGATCTAGAATTGTCTCAGAAATCCAAAAATGTTACAATATATAGGGAGTCGTTCCATTTAAAAATTTAAAACCGGAGCCATTTCCGGTGAAACCAGAAGTGACTGGAAAGTGAAAAATATGCGAAAACTCTCCTCTTCACATACCATTTACCTATACCAAATCTCATTTTGATACACCCAATGGTCTAGATGTTATGACTTGTCTAATAGATTCGATGACACCCAGTATACATAGGCTGTGCTCAAAAGCGTTTGCCAAACATCATTGAAATATCATTTTTGCAACTACTATATCTTTCATTGATGAATTCATGAATTCGAAATTTAAATGAGAGTATTGTTATTAGCGAAGATCAATGCGGACGAGTGCCATAACAGAAGGGAACCACATATCATAGATATTTGAATAAAGTCAACTTTCAAGTTTGAGAATATTTCGGAGTATTCAGAAGTGCATATATTTCATAATATCATGATCCCCATCACTATTTATCGATATTTCAGTGGATGTAATCAGGATACAGTGATACAGATGTATTTAAACAACTTCCTCATTACTGCGATAAAAAAGGAACATAGACATAAAAAATTATAAGGAACTCATTTCCACTCACACATAATAGTTGCCATATTCATTTTATTTCTACATAATCAACACGCAATGTTCAGCGATTTTTTTCGAAGACAGTAAGTAGGTTTGTACAAATATCAAATTCTAATAAGTTAGAGTGATAAATGCCATGGAAATTTCAACTTTCCCACCACGTTAGTTGAAATACCAAATTGCGGTGGATTGCGATGCTGTTTATCATGAAACAATATGATATATATATGATCTAATATAGATACTATAGTAGAATAAAACTAATATCATTCCCCTCGAATTCCTACAAGTCGACTCAAATTCTCAAAATCTCCCCTAATTTCCATGAAAGATTCTCCAAATTCTCAATGAATTCCTAACACTTCAACATTCAAATTCCTCATTCAAATATTCTCCTCGGTATCCAATACCAATGATCCGAATGGTAATTGATATGTAGTCAAACATAAACTCGAAGATAATAATTTTGAACTATAGTGAGCCTTGTCTCAATTGAACATTCGACATTGGCCAGAACTCTACTCAAAGAGAGTTTTACTGACTCACTGACTGTATCAGATCCAGATGAACCACAAAAAAAAGGGCTGCTTGAAATATGAAAATCAACATTGGTTGTTTCTCTATATTGAAATATGTATATAGCCTGCAACTATAGAAGACACAATGTACAAGAATTTGTTCATGTCGAGAGGCCAACATGAGTATTACTTATTTTCCAACAATTAATATGGTACTGAACTGTGGTCTTAGGCTATAGTATCTGGTACGAACATTCAGGTGAAAATAATATTGTCAGTGTTTCGGTCGCATTAATCCTATTTGATCCCAATTTAGAATTTAGATGTTTTTTTATGAGTACATATAACTATTTGTTTTTCCAGGTCTAAAACTACACCCCATAATCATCAAACGTTCATGTTCTACTGACATGTAAACATGTATGATTCACTTTAAAAAAAAAAGACCGAAACAGTATGGAAAATCATGTTATGCACGTCCGGGCGTAAAGTAGCACTTTACCTACCGCCCACCGTATAAATAACTTGTAATAGGCTTTCCTGTATATAATTTAGGACACTATGTTTCAGTTGGGATGGTACCTTATTTAATTTTATAGTTCTCTTGATATTTCTGAGATGCAAAATGATATGATAGAACCTCGGATCGAACCTCAGATCCAACCCAAAATGAGTTATCTGTGATGACATTGATTGACAGCGAATATCATAGTCTACTGTGATCTACTCCTATCTCAAAATATTGACTGAGTTACCATGGTAACGTGGATTCCATCAATGATATTTCTCAATGCAGCAAGAATGAAAAATCAAATATACCGGTTGTGCATGAAATGTTGTATGCATTTCGGGCGTAACTTGTTTTTATGGACCTAGACGTGATAATAACCCTTGCTATCGCTCGGGCTCCTACTTACACGCTGTGGTCCTCAAAAGCCTACTTTACGCCCTTGATACATAAATAACCATTGTGGTTCCCTACCCATAGTGAACGCCTAAAGATTTATTGGGACTTTGAATCCCCTAAACTCTCACTTGATCGTTGAATTCATGAACTTATCGCAAAGAAACATTCCATCATTATAAATAGAAGGTATTGGAAAGTAGGTAATGAACAAAAACATATTTTATGCACGACCGGGCATTATGACACTTCATCTATCGCCCGGATTCAGTGGCGTGAAGTAACAATTTAGCGCCCTACGGCGATAAAAGAGTACAGCGGACGGTAAAGTAATCTGGCGTGCGGTGAAGTAGGTGACTATCATTCGATCTTACCTCACCAGTGGCATAGATAATTTGTGAAAATAAATTCAAAATCATTAATAAATTACGAATTCACAGTAAATAAATGTCGGTCGTGTATAAAATGCTGTTGATATGTATTTCGGACGTAACTTGCTTTTATGGACTCCGGCTTGTTAATACTGACACGCTGCGGTCCATAAAAATCTGCTATACACCCTTGATACATAAATAACTATTATTGACATTTGCCAATCACGTCGTAAGGGCGCCGCCCTGTTTTCTGTACTATTGATAAGGCGAATATGCTCTGTGGAGTAGAGTTTATACTCATTTGCGTTCGAAATTTGTTAGATTGTGTATATTTTACTATTTTTACTCTATGACTCCCGTTCGCAAATACTGAAGTTTTTGACGTAACTCTTGTAACTCCACAAAATAGGTGGGTAAATCTTACTCCACAGATTTGACAAGGTTATTACAGGGCGAGCAAGGACGAAGTTTATTTTTCTGGTTCAAGTTAGTTAGGTCCATTTGCATTCGCAGTATATGATTGTTTTTATAAGGCATTCAAATTTAAGAAAGTGAGACACTAAGGTTCTGTTGTGTGTATACTGTTCTGTTCTGAACAAAATATTCAATTACCTATCAAAGAACCTATATCAAGGGTTATTGTATATATGCTTTATTACTATAGCAGTACCAACCCTAGACGTGGTTTCAACAGTGATAAGCGGCAATCAACATCATTTTATTGCAACTGGAATATAAGATCTACCTTCTCCTGTATGAATTGAACCTGAACTGACTGAACTAAACTTGTCAACCTGACAAACAAGATGTCAATATTAGATGTTGATAAAAGATTCAAAATTCCGTTCGAATACTGCAAGGATTAGTTGATTAACTCAGAGTAAACTCATAAAACCTTCAACTGGGTTTACTCTACTCTGAGAGTTGATAATCGAACGCACCCTGGTATATTTCGATGACCGGTACCATTTACGAGTTATTGGCCTTGTTTGTTATTGTAACGTTGATTCTACATTGCGCCTGTTTTTTTTGCGATTTACGCCTAACGGATTTGTTGGGGTTTTCATCAGTCAGTTTATGTTAGATATAATGGGGAATATAATCCCGTTGAGAAACTTCTCTATCAAATTGTTTCGTGTTTCAACTTTTGAATGCCTGGGGTACCTACCAAAAGTTACCGAGGGTATGATGTTAATTTTGCTGTCAGTCCTAACCAAACTTATTTCATTAACAATAAATTTTCAGATAACAACAATTGTTCCTACTTATGGATTTGGATTAATATTTGGCGAATTTTTGACTGCTACTGGCGATGAAACTAATGGCACCACATTGACAAGTGCAGCATTTTTGAGTGTATCATCTTTTACTGGTCAGCATGAGCAATACAAATTATATGTTCTCATCATAATAGCTACTGTAAGGTATAATTCAAGACTGTGCAGCAACAAACACGAAAAAAAAAGTTTTTTGCACCAACAAAATAAATTTGGTCATTTTTTTTGTTAAATTAAACACAATTTTGCGAAATCAACAAAATATATGTTCATTCCAAATAAGCAACTTATTCGAACAGAAAAAATAATTTGATTGAAATATTTGCTCCCTTGAACAAAAGTTTCATTTCGTTCAACAACATTTATAGTTGACATAAAAAAAATTTTGCTGATTCAACCATTATATCATTGTTCAATCAATCATATGCATTTTGTCTATTCGACAAAATTAAATTAATTTTGACAAAGATTCAACTAAATACAACATCATATTTTGTTGAGTCAATAATCATTTCATTGTGCGACCAATCAAAGGTTTTTTATTTTTATTTCAAACAAATTACTTTGTTGAACAGTACCCACAAATACATTATATCAAACAAATATTGCATTATAGGAACGAAATAGTCTTTGCGAGGGGTGATTCTCATTGAAAGTCTGGTGTACACTCCATTGGAAGTCTTTGGAATTCTTTGGAAGTCTTTGGAAGTCTTTGGAAGTCTTTGGAAGTCTTTGGAAGTCTTTGGAAGTCTTTGGTAGTCTTTGGAAGTCTTTGGTAGTCTTTGGAAGTCTTTGGTAGTCTTTGGAAGTCTTTGGAATTCTTTGGAAGTCTTTGGAAGTCTTTGGTAGTCTTTGGAAGTCTTTGGATGCCATTGACATTTTTTGAAATTTAAAGGAAATAATCGAGAGATAATTCATGGTTATTGAACTTTTTTTTAATATTATAGGATTGGATATGAACAAATCACCTCCAATTGGATTGACAATGAGGTACCTACTTCTTAATGACTAGAAAAATCTTGAAAAAAGTATCTCAGTGAACTATTTTATACTCGACTATATCTCATAATGCACCTAGAAGCGCATGGGTCCGCAGGTTGTAGGTATACATATTATACCGCATATACCCTTTAGCAAATTTGAATTCCAGTGACTCCGATGGAACGTGTTTTTGTGATTTGATCCTATATACCGAAACTATACAGTGTGTTGTGATATTTTACAGTCCATTATTGCCCTCGTTATAGATATGGAAGGAAAATGAACCATTCAAGTAGGTACTTTGATTTTGTGATGCACAGCAGAGAAATACGTAATACATATTATGAAAAAGTGTTCTTTCCGAAAAACAGACCTGTTTCCAACCAGAATTAATCGTTTTGAACTGCTCCGAGTTGCACCTTGTCCTAAGTATAAGTATAGCTTACCTATTTCACTCATCAACACGTTTATTCTCAAGATTTCTTTAATTTTTTTTTCTCGTATGTCAGAATATTCATTTTTATTTGTGGAATACAGGGTATTCGGAGATCAAACCGACGAAACTTATGGGGTTATAGGGACTGCCAATATACTGACATACAGAGTAATTTATGGATTTTAACAAAAAAATCAATCTGCCATATTAAATACAGGGATTACCCGATTGGGTTCAAATTTGATATATTAACTGAACTCAAATGCTTCAACAATGAGCCTTCTGAACGAAATCACGAGATTCATTATTTTAATTTCTTTTATTAATTGTCGGATAAAATATCAGCAAAAATGGAAATATAATGAATATTAACGAAACCAAGACATAATTATTGTTGTTATTGTCTTTGATTACTCCGTAGTAATATTTAATGAATTACTCTCATAACCTAACAAACTGAAGAATATTATTAGGGGTGGAATGAGTCTTGTGATTATAACTGACCTAGTATAACAATCATCATTTATCTGATCGTAGATTCAGAATAACTAAGTGAAAAACCTCCATTGAGCTAGCAGAACTACTTTGAATCATTCTTTTTTTTTTTGGGCCATAATTCAAGGCTAATTATTTATCACCGTATTGAAGAATTTATTGCTCTTCGATTTATGCAAAAAAACGTGGCTTCTGCTAGCTCAACGTTGAGCTATCAGAACCACTTTGTGAATAAAAGTACAATCACAAAACGAATTATACCATGATTTGAGGCTAATTTAAGGCTCTAATCCTAGCCTATTGCCGATTTCTTCGCACATTGTTTTTTCAAAAAAATCATGGGTTCTGCTAGCCGGCTAGCCTAACCATTGAGCTAGCAGACCCAAATCTCAAATAGCAGGAATGTAAGGATATCGAGTACACCATAATCAATTAATTGAATTAATCAATTGTTATACTGGGTGTCCCACGGGAAAAAAGTAATTCATGGAAAGTGACATTTTATAACCTGCCAACAGAGATGAAATGCCAAACTTTTTTCCCGTCACAGAAAAAAGTATTTTGAAAAACCCATTTTTGCACTACCCATTTGCTGACCAAATTACATTCACAAAGATAACAGCAAAAAGGCATTTTTTATTGAAAAGGAATATTCTCAGATATAATAATTATGAACATAAAAAAATGGATATACATATATATAAAGAATTACATCGAGAATTTGCATTCCCTATATTATGAAAATATCAATTTATCATACATAAAAAAAATGCATTTTTTATTCAAAATAATTTGAATATATTCCTGTGCAGCATCGAACACACTTAAAACGGAAATATTTCGAAATCGACTTACTTTAGCAATTTTACACAGGAATACTTTTTTCCTTAAAAATATTGAAAAAACCATTTCATCAACGAAAAAAGTGAAAAAGTACATTGAGAAAAAAGTTATGGCCCTTCTGAACCATAAGAAGTGCCCTCTAATGGCCATAGTGAAAATGTGTCCGTATTAGGGTTTCGCATCCCGAAGATCCCTATTGATTTTCAAAGTGATACGTTCAAAAATGTTCATAAATTTTGAAGAAATTCGATTCTTATTTATCAAATTTACCACCCAGTATCTCGGAAATGGATCAATTTCGGATTCCAAATCGGCTTATCAGGAATATGAGATTCTGTAGAGACCTTTTAGGAACACCCTGTACTTACAAGAACATGAATAAGAGTCATTGCGGTCCTGATACTGATGTATTCTTCAATTTTTTCAGGGTACTAGAGTAATTTATAAAAATATTTCTACGAAGTTATCGAAGAGGATAACAACAATTATGTCTTCGTGTCGTAAATATTCATCATATTTTCATTGAAAAAAATTAAAATAATAATTCATTACGGAATGACTGAAATTGTGCCAGAAATATTTTTCACAAGTTCCTATAGTATTTTTTCCGTCGATTCATAATGACCTCAAATTTTTGATAATTATTATACAGGGCGAGTTATTCTCACACAAAAACTCAACATAGGAAAAAAATAATATTCCGGTCCTGATATTGATTTCGTTGAGAAGGTTACTTGTTAAAGCCTTCGAGTTCAGGGGTAGGGGGTGTAGATGTTCCCATTTTCCGAAATATCACATCGCATCCTGGGTAAATGAAGAATTTCTTCAACACTTTTACTCTTAGTTGTACCTTCGGTTGTATACCTGCTATTTCATGTTATCAAATATTCCAGATGTTCCTTCGCGTTTAAGTCATGTAGGTACAGGGTGATTCACCATGTCCCCCCCCCCTCTAGCTCAGTTATTTATGAACCGATTGCAAAATGTCAAATATCATCTAAAATGATTTGCGATAGAGTTTTTTTCCGCTTCATCAGAAGATACGAGGTGCTCGGAACAAACGATCTACAGGGTACTATTTGATTTTTCAATGGAACACCCTATTTTTCATTGTATTTTTAGATTCTCCCTGAAGAGCTGATTTCATCGATGTATCCTACTTAGGGTTTAGCGAAAATGATTACAGAGATATAGGGTGTTCAAAATCGAGATTTTTCAACTTTAAGATTTTCCTGTGACGAAACTATTCATTATCGGTCAGAATGGCTTTCATGTTCATATCTTAATTCTTGATTCACTATCTACTGACATTTAATAATTGGAACATTTACAGGGTGATCATAATTCTGAATCTTGAACCACACTGTATATGTTCCAATTAAATGTCAGTAGATAGTTAATCAAAAGTTGGGATAGGAGCATTGGAGCCGTTTTAACCAATTAATCCAATAATGAATAGTTTCGACACAAAAAAATCCTAAAGTTGAAAAATCTCGATTTTGAACACCCTATATCTCTGTTATCATTCCCGCTAGACCCCAAGTGTGATGTATTGATGAAATCAGCTCTTCAAGGAGAATCTAAGAATACAATGAAATACAGGGTGTTCCATTTGAAAAAATCAAGTAGTACTCTGTAGATCGTTTGTTCCGAGCAACCTGTATTTTCTAATTTTCTGATGCAACGGGAAAAAACGGGAAATTTTAGATGATTTTTCAAATTTTTAAATCGGTTCTAAAATAAGTGAGCTAGAGGGGGACATTTATGGTGAATCACCCTGTACCTGACTATGACATTAGCTCATTAGCATATAGCTAGAAATATTTGTTGTGATATTATTAACGGAAGACTGTGGTATGATATTCTACTCGATATTCTATATTATGTAGAAGCGAACATAGTTGATACTGAATTACTAATATGAACATTTAGTGTCCTAACTAAATTCTTTTTTGTGCTTCAATCGATTAATAGAAGGCTTCGAAAATCAATGGAAGTTATTGGAATTAGCTCAAAGTCTTTGGTAGTAACTGAAAGTCATTGGAAGTCATTGGATGTTTTTGGAAGTCTTTGGAAGTCTTTGAAAGTCTTTGGAATTCTTTGGAATTCTTTGGAAGTCTTTGGAAGTCTTTGGAAGTCTTTGGAAGTCTTTGGAAGTCTTTGGAAGTCTTTGGAAGTCATTGGAAGTCTTTGGTAGTCTTTGGAAGTCTTTGGAAGTCTCTGTTCATTGGAAGTCTGGTGTACACATTTCTCCTGGAGATTTACCCCTCGAGTCTTTGTTCATTCAACCAATTCCTGCTGTTAATTTGAATCATTAATGAGTTACATCAAATGAATTTTGAATTGAAACTGACAAAAAACATTTGTTGCGGTGACAAAATATTTTGTCGTGGATATATGACACTCAGATTTTGTTGAATTCACAAAAATTTTGTAGTTTCAAACACATTTTTTTTTTCTGTGGAGGTATCTGTGATTTTCAGGAAATAATGAAATATTCATATTTTCTTGAATATTGAAGTTAAAGTAATGAATTCTCGTGGAGGTATTCTACGAGTGCAAAACTCAATTTGATCAAATTACATATACAAGGTCTTTCGAAAATAGGAGTGATCCTTGAAATGGTTGATAGAAGACGAAAACATGAAAACGAAATGGATGAATGAATTTTTGCGAAAAAAAATATCTTGGGAAATATTCAAGCTTGAAGTTTTAGCCTTGAGTGGCCTAACGATAGACGATAGAGTTTCGGGTAGAGGTCACACACAACGTCGATTCGTCATGGTCATGGGCAGCGAGGTATATTGTGTGTTGTATGATCTAAAGAGTCTTGAATGATTACTCATTTCAACCTGGAAAAAGGTGACTAAAAGTGTCTGAAAGACTAGTTATACACGAATACTTTTCATTGGTACACTTCGAGATCATAAATATGGAAATAACAAATAGTATTGTAAAATGATTGAACATTTGTAAGTGATTTTTTATTTTACGTTACATGGTACCTACTCCTGTCAGATAGATAATTAAAATGTTGACATTTTTCTTCTTCGCACGTTTCTCGGGCCATTTATGTTGCCGTGTGTTGCCATGGTAACTTTATTGAAAAGGCAAGTTTTTGAAAGTTGGATTGAAACTTGCTGAGGATTTTTTCAAATAAGCATAAGAAGATACCAATAAAAAAATCATTTTTGTGATTTGTTGTATTATTATGACTCTTTCAACACCCCATTTCAAGGATCGTTCCAATATTGGATACACCCGTCATTCGAAATCAGTGTGAAAACAGCCACGAGTTCCAGCCACGACTTCGCCTAATATTCAAGGCGCGCGCCATACCACCAGTGGTCGTTCAATATCAATTTATATTCATGGCTGGCCATGAAATTACTTAAACCTCCAAAATATGTCCATGGATGAAAGTATTTTAAATCAATAAATTTCTCTGAGGGTCTATGATAATCTGTATATCTCACAATATTTTGTCGGGCAAGAATTAACCCCACAGGCCCCCTTTTTTGGAATTTCTAAAAAAATTCATAACTTTCTCAAAATACACGTGGATGGGAGTTTTTTACTATGAATGTGTTTTTCTGATGGTACCTAATGATATGTATATCTCACAATATTTTGTCTGGCAAGAATTAACCCCACAGGCCCCCTTTTTCGGAAGTTCGAAAAAAATTCATAACTTTTTCAAAATACACATGGATGGGAGTTTTTTTCTATGAATGTATTCGTCTGATGGTACTCAATAATATGTATATCTCACAATATTTTGTCGGGCAAGAATTAACCCCATAGGCCCCCTTTTTCGGAAATTCGAAAAAAATTCATAACTTTTTCAAAATACACGTGGATGGGAGTTTTTTTCTATGAATGTATTCCTCTGATGGTACTCAATAATATGTATATCTCACAATATTTTGTCGGGCAAGAATTAACCACACAGGCCCCCTTTTTCGGAATTCAGAAAAAAAATCATAACTTTTTCAAAATACAGGTGGATGGGAGTTTTTTTCTATGAATGTATTCCTCTGATGGTACTCAATGATATGTATATCTCACAATATTTTGTCGGGCAAGAATTAGCCCCACAGGCCCCCTTTTTCGGAATTTCGAAAAATAATCATAACTTTTTCAAAATACACGTGGTTGGGAGTTTTTTTCTATGAATGTGTTCCTCTGATGGTACTCCATAATATGTTCATCTCACAATATTTTGTCGGGCAAGAATTATCCCCATAGGCCCCCTTTTCGGAAATTCTAAAAGAATTCATAACTTTTTCAAAATACACGTGGATGGGAGTTTTTTCTATGAATGTATTCCCCTGATGGTACTCAATGATATGTATATCTCGCAATATTTTGTCGGGCAAGAATTAACATCACAGGCCCCCTTTTTCGGAATTTCTAAAAAAATTCATAACTTTTTCAAAATACACGTGGATGGGAGTTTTTTCCTATGAATGTGTTCCTCTGATGGTACCTAATAATATGTTTATCTCACAATATTTTGTCGGGCAAGAATTAACCCCACAGGCCCTCTTTTTCGGAATTTCTAAAAAAATTCATAACTTTTTCAAAATACACGTGGATGGTAGTTTTTTTCTATGAATGTATTCCTCTGATGGTACTTAATAATATGTATATCTCACAATATTTTGTCGGGCAAGAATTAACCCGATAGGCCCTCTTTTTCGGAAATTCGAAAAAAATTCAAAACTTTTTCAAAATACACGTGTTTGGTCGTTTTTTTCTATGATTGTTTTCCCCTGATGGTACTCAATAATATGTATATCCCACAATATTTTGTCGGGCAAGAATCAACCCCACAGGCCCCCTTTTTCAGAATTTCGAAAAAAATCATTACTTTTTCAAAATACACGTGGATGGAAGTTTTTTTGAATTGAATTGTGGGTTTAATTCTTGCCCGACAAAATATTGTGACATATACAGATTATCACAGACCCTCAGAGAAATTGATTGATGTAAAATAGTTTCATCCATGGACATATTTGGGAGGTTTAAGTAATTTCATGGCCAGCCATGAATATAAATTGATATTGAGCGACCATTGGTGGTATGGCGCGCGCCTTGAATATTAGGCGAAGTCGTGGCGGGTTTCACACTGATTCATAAGAATGTGATTTTTATAAATTTATTTTCCTTCAAATACAAATCGTAATGTTGGGCCGCTAAATCAATTCCTGGATGGGGGCAGAAATTTGACTTACCGTTTAGTTACAACTGGAAAATAAGCCAAAGAAGAATGATCTATCTAGTTCGTAAATTGAAAGTTGGGCATTTCGATGGCTACAAGCACAGCTACACATTCAATATGTAAAAAAACATATCTGTGAACGTCATTCTGGTATGAACAAATACCCTCCATATTTTTCAGAAAACATTTTTCTCTCGCATAACTAAAGGATTTTTTGACGAATATACCCGAGTACAATGAGATTATCAATGGATAAATTCCTGGAAATGTCTTTTCACCACCTTGTAATTATATAGCTAGAATAAATTGAACTGCATCAAATATGTGAAAAAATCATGGAATTATTGAAAACATGTGCGTTTTTTTTCTCTCATGGCAGTTGCGATTTGGTAAAATCCAAAATGTTCAACCTCGAATATCTCGAAAACGGCTGAACCAAATATCAATGACCAATATATTCTTGGAATCAGGAAGAAAAGATCTTGATTTGTTTCGAAAAATGTATAGGGTGTTCCATTGAAAATAACGAAGTTGGTACCCATTCATTGTATCAGCGATATTCAATTGTTTCATCTGTTATAATTTTCTGGATGTTCAGAACAAACCCTACAACTTTTGCATTCGAAGTTTTTCTCTATCCTCAATGATGAACCCTGTAGAAGCTGTTTAAATTTATGGAATGACCCTGTACACCAGAATTCCTGGAAACCAACTGGAATCTCACTAGAATTCCACCAACCTGTACACCATAATTCCAAGGTGGTTTACCCCTCAAACCTATCTATCTACCTTACTACCTAAATACCTACGCATCAGCAACCTAATACCTGATATACAACAAAATATCTGTATGGATTTACTGTTTGATACTGCTAAATATAATAATAATGTACTGTAGAACTATCCATGTAGTAATAATACTCCAAGTCGTCTCCACAACGAATCAAATCATAAATGGAAATGGGACATATGTTTCGGATGTACTTATAGGGTATCCACATCATCATCAGCCGATTAAGAAAGTATTCTACAAAGAACAAAGCAACAATAACAGGGTATGAATGGTAATACATACTCCACGTGAGCACTTCCATGTTTCACCAATGACCCTATTATTGTTGCTTTGTTCTTTGTGGAATAATTTCTCAATAGGCTGATGATGGATATTCTATACCGAAACATGTAGGTAATTCCATTTATGATTCGATAACGCTGTTTTGAGACGGCTTGGAGTATTATTACTATATAATAATAATGGTTTTGTTTCAGGTTTGGTTTCCAGTTATTTGTTACGAAAGTATACCTATAGAAAAGTAGCTTTCGCTGGGTCAATTATATATTCGATAGGAGCTATTGGAACGATTTTCATCCAAGATTTGACTCAATTAATCATAACCTATGGTGTTTTACAAGGTAGGAAAAAAATATAAAACAATTGGATTTGATAGACAATTTTTGATATACAGGATGATTTGAGTAAATACTACCTATTTCTATGTACATATAGATACAGTGTGTAACTAATCCTATGCAGGATAAATTTCATCAGCGTATGGATCATATTGCTTGTCTTTCTTTTTCTAATTTATCATTGTAATTGTAAATATACACTGTGTCCATAAAGTCACCCCCCCCTGGTTAACTATTGAACGGATGGGATTTTTTTGGCGCCATTTTGGAAGATTTTTTCAAATGGAGTGGGGGGTCGAAAGATACCTCGATTGAAAGGTCTATCGATTCTCTATACAACCTTAGAATATCAGACGAAAATATTCATCCAAAACAAAATGGCGGATGATAACGTTTGAAATCTCACACCAGAATTATTTCGACTAGATGGCTATTAAAGTGCTCGCATGTGATCTTCAAATCTCTATTGGCGTATAGAAGAGTTCTCTATCTATGAAGATATCAATAGGAAGCCATTTTGAAGAGAATAACATGGTAGTCTATTATTACCTTTGCTCGATTGTCTTTCCAAATTCTGCAAAGTTTTAGAAATATTTATTCAAAATAAAGAACAATGTTTATTCCACGTGACTACCATGTTATTCTCTTCAAAATAGCTTCATATTGATATCTTCATAGATAGAGAACTCTTCTATACGCCAATAGAGATTTGAAGATCACATGCGAGCACTTTAATAGCCATCTAGTCGAAAAAATTCTGGTGTGAGATTTCAAACGTTATCATCCGCCATTTTGTTTTGGATGAATATTTTCGTCTGACATTCTAAGGTTATATAGAGAATCGAAAGAACTTTCAATCGAGGTATCTTTCGAACCCCCACTCCATTCAAAAAAATCTTCCAAAATGGCGCCCAGGCGCCATTTTGAGGGATACATATTTTTTTTTTGGAACAATATGTAGCACTGAAACTACCATTGAAGCAGGAGGAAATTTAAAAAAAAATCCCATCCGTTCTGAAGTTAACCAGGGGGGGGGGGGTGACTTTATGGACACAGTGTATATAAATATGTGCTAATTTTCAACTGTAAGAACCGAGTTATACGTAGGCCTCATGTTCATTGAAACTTTCCTTCCTATTTTCGATCGTAGAAGCCGCTGGTGAAGTTTGGCAGGCTGATTTTGGGAAACCCTGTATATACTGTCAATCATATTACCAATTTTTTGTGAAATATGCATCTGCTCTCCCGCATTATTCTCAGATATACACGTCTGGCAAGAATAATTTTCCTATAGAGAAACCGTGTACAAGCATCGTTGGCCCACCTTCTGGAGAGTATGGCACGTGTAGCAAACGATAATTCCATCAGTGGGACCGAAAAATGTACCTGCTCGATGGAGGGGTTAAGGCGATACGAAGCGTATGGCAACGTCGCTTTTTACTCTTTCAGTTAAAATGCACACGGTTGGTCAATAGGAGAATGATCCTTGAGAGACGTTTATATACCTTTTTTATAGCTTTTAACATTACCATCACACCTGATATTTTGAGAACTGATGAATCATTAGTTGAGTTCAAGATTGCTTGAGTTGAACAATTTTGTAACGTTCAAGATAGACGAACAATCACAAGAATAAAACTGAAATAACGCAACAGAAGTGAATCCACGTGAAGAGTAGCAAGACATAATTGAACATTATACTTTATTGACCTCATACCTGATCCTCAACCGTTTATTAAAGGATATATGATTATTTGAAAAAATTATACAATGGGCGAGTGGACTGATGATAAATTATAAAATGAGAATAAGAGCAAATTCATGCGGATTTGTCTGCTCTCAATTCATATCTTGAAAAATGTGTATACTTTTTTTTTCAACAAGTTGTACCTTATGACATTACAAAAGTTTCTAATAAAGCAAAACAAACTTATTTTCAGTATTCCACTCTCCCTAGAAACAAGGCCACCTGTTTTTTGAAACACCCCTAATGTGGAATTATGCGTAATGCTATAATTATCATCTCCGAGATTATCTTTTCAGGTTTCGGAATTGGGCTCATGATGATATCAGTCTTCCCGACCCTAAACGTTTACTTCGAGACGAAGCTGAATCTCATGATGGGCATAGCTCAAACTTTTATAACGATCACCACTATGCTATGTGCTCCTACACCATAGCCTATCTGGTGGAATTAAATTATCTCCGAAATCATCAGTTTTCGTATTTGGGCTCATAGTGCTGTCAGTCTTCTCATCCTGAACGTTTACTTCGAGACGAAGCTGAATATCATGGTGGGCATAGCTCAAACTTTTATAACGATCACCACTATGCTATGTGCTCCTACCATAGCCTATCTGGTGGAGTTATATTATCTCCGAAATCATCTTTTCAGGTTTCGGATTTGGGCTCATAATGCCGTCAGTCTTCTCAGCCCTGAACGTTTACTTCGAGACGAAGCTGAATCTCATGATGGGCATAGCTCAAACTTCTATAACGATCACCACTATGCTATGTGCTCCTACCGTAGCCTATCTGGTGGAAACATTTGGTTTCAGGAAAACTCTGGTCGGGTTAGCTTTATACTCGCTGCTGAACATTCCCGCTGTTGCAGCATTGCAGCCAGTTGAATGGCACATGAAGCGGTTTCCTGTTGGGATCCAAGATGAAGGTACGACCCAATGGGCATCACATGAGCTTTGAGCATTGAAAATTATTATCTGATTTAACGTTATTTAGGTGATCACTCGGGTGATCATTCCATGCACACAACATTTTAGTCCTATTGAAGGCCTGTATTTTGTATCACAATAGCAAGTCCTTGGTGTGAGAAGCATGACATTTCCAGATGTTGATTGGTGAAATGACATTTACAATTGACTTCAGCCACGTAACTTGAGCTTATGCCGAATTCATTTTATAAGTTGATAAGTTCCTCTTCAAAAAATATATTTCTACCAGCTTTAGCTATAGAATTCGTAAAAACTATAACTAGTCATTTCATTAGTATATATTATTCAACGAGTGCATAATGATGACTATTACTCACGAAGGCGAGTGCTGTAATCATCTGAGTGGGTAATAGTCATTATGCGCAAGTAGAATACTATACTCTATCTACAACTATTCAAATATCAAAGCAACTCTGAGAGTTCAGAAATATATCTTTGAAAAAGATGAAGGTTATTATATTGCAAAATCACTAAATCTGATTTTAAATACTCATTAATTTCATCGAAAATTTATTGACAAAAATTCCATTCAACGAACAGCTCATAACTTATTTCAATAATTTTGATTGTGAAAATATGTTGAGTTTGTATACCCCTGATTTTTGGAAAATGAAGGAATAAAACTCAATCATTTCGAATCATTAGAAATCAACAAACTCAAAAATTCTGAAATCTTACTTAACTATCAACCAGACCTCAATAGTTCACAACTGTTGAATTTGTTTTCTTAGTAGGTAAGAATATGTATTTGCTATCAACCCTTTCAAGTTAATCCGCGGTTTACCATATTTCAATGTAGATATTGTGCCTAATTTCCGAAAACTAAGGTTTATCGAACTTGTCCACAGGTAACTAATCCTTCAGGTTATTTGGAAAGTAGGATATATAAAATTTAGGCAAGACAAGGTTAGTTTAGTTCATATAGTACCAGTATATCACCTGATGAAGCTACTGTGTTAGCGAAACATGTGTGTTTGAGAATTTTTTGGAAATCTTATCGTTTGTGAAGCTTTTACATTTGCCATGGATTTTCATCAAGTAACGGCCGAATTTATATATTCAAAAAATAATAAGAAATAAGTCGATGGTTGCTCATTCTCTAATTTTTTTCTAATTAATTCATTTAGCTCAAATTGGTAGAAATATATGTTCTTACAATAAGGAACTCATCAACTTATATGGAATGAATACGACATAATATGAAGTTAAATGCAAAAGCAATTTTAACAATAAACGACAATTTGTTGAGATACTATGGTGAAGATACGAAATACAGGCTTTCGATTTATTTTCTTTGTTCCAAAGTTAGTGGAAATTTGCTCACGTAATATTATAAGGTTGAATAAAATATTTTTTTTCTGTGACGGGAAGTTTGGCATTTCATCTCTGTTGGCAGGTTATAAAATGTCACTTTTCATAAATTACTTTTTTCCCGTGGGAAAAAAGTGAGTACTTTTTTCCCGGATATATATCACATATACTCTGTTAATGGCTTTTGTTGTGCTATAGTTCCGAAAAATGAGTCAATAATACCGTCTCCGAGAAAGAACTGCAAGTCCTTTTATCTTCCATTCGACTTCGCGGTTTCGTATATTACTAAACAACTACTGAATTCGCAATTTTTTAAAATCAAATCACAGAATTGAACTGACAGAAGTGGCATCAGATATTTGATTACTTCAAAAGAATGATAAAGATGCCTATAAAACGCAGGTGTCCCTACTGTTAAAAACTTGAAATTTCACGTCGATAATTTTCAGATTTCGAAATAATGTAATATCTTCTCAATATTGATTCGTCCTTCCTTCTGTCACAGAAAAAAATAGTGTATTATACACGGGAAAAATATTAGATTTTAGCTCACGGAGCTAAAATCTACTACTTTTTCCCTTGTATAATAAATAACTATTATTCAACCTAATAATGTAATGGATATGAATTATATTGATACATATTTTACTGCTTCGAGTTCCTTTTTGATAGAAAATATTTCCACCAATTTAAGTGGAATAAAGTTAGTCAAGAATAATACTATCGCTCGGGCTCTACGCTCGCTTACGCTGCGGTCCATAAAAGCCTAATTTACGCTCTTGATACTTAAATAACTATTTTATACTCACTATAGGTACTCATAAAGATGTATTTTTTTATTCCTATTCGTAGATAATTCCCCAGCAGAAGTTGAATAACTGTAGAAAAAACAAGAGATGTGAAGATAAATTGGTACTGAAAATCAAATGATTTTTCAGATAATGCAGATTTTAAGAGAGAATTGTCACAGGTTGTTCTGCAAAGGCAACAGATGGAGAATTTATTGGAAATCAGTAAAGGGCAGGAAACTCATGAAGAAACTGATGTTGATATTGAAGAACCTGATGTTGAAATTAACGAAACCGAGAGAAGAGAAAAATCGTGAGTGTACTAAAGATATTTTTCAAGAATAACGAATATGTTTGTCAAAAATGCAAAAAATCTGTATTGTCAAGAGCTTGCGTTTTCTCATAGAATATTTCAGAGGCGATATATTTTTTTATCTTTCTTGGTGCACGAAAGGGAATCTCTATAATCTTCAGAGAACATCGTGCGTACCTAGGGAGGATAGGGAGAGGATGTTGGGATTGGAATTTGAAGTTTTGGGGGATACAAGTTCTTGGGAATACTTCCTTTGGCAAACAATTCCAAAGCTTTGCCGTTCTATAGACACACGAGTTTTGGTGAAGATTTGTTCGACATGTTATATGTTACATAAGAACATCCGAACTAATCAATATTTTGGTTATAACTACCCAAACTCAACAATTTCTCTCCCTACAGGATGATAAGATATTCTAATTGAGTGTATGCTTTCACCTACACAACATAAACTACCTCTAGTTAAATGATAAGAATGTTATATCATACTAGCTGACCCGGCAAACGTTGTTTTGCCATAACATTATTTCTAGAAAAAATGTTTTGAATAAATATTCATCAAATAACTTTCATTATTTTATTTATACTTCTTTTTAGTTCGGCTATCCATGAAAACGTGTTTCATTAGTTTCTCAAACTACTATTTATTACAATAGTTGATGCTGATACCTGACACACGTTGTTTTGCTATCATTTTCTTCTAGAAAATATTTTTTTAGTTGAATATTCATCAACACACTTTTATTATTTGTTTCGAACTTCTTTTTAGTTTGGATATCCATGAAATCGTGTTTCATTAGTATTTCGAACTATACTATTCTTGTTTTCTACTTCTTTTTAATTCGACGATCTATCTCGTTTTTTGAAAAATACCTACTATCAATTTTCTACTTCTATTCAGTTTGGCCTCGAGTTTGGCTATCTATGAAAGCGTGTTTCATTATAGTTTTTCAAACTACTCTTAATTACAAAGCTCTTTCACCATATTGGATCCGCCATCTTGAATTTCCCAATTTTGAAGAATAAAATCATAATCTCTGACCCCGAAAACCCCCAGATACAGATTATGAATAGAATCGGATCATAATTACAAAACTCGTCCGCCACATTGGATCCTCCACTCGATCCTCCATCTTTAATTTCCTAATTTTGATGAGAGAATCATAATCTCCGACCCGAAAATCACCCAGATACAAATTTTGAATGGAATCGGATCATAGTTAAAAAACTCATCCGCCATATTGCATTCGCCATCTTGAATTTCCAAATTTTGACAAAAGAATCATTATCTTCGACCCCAAAAACCACCCGATACCAATTTTGAATAGAATCTGACCATAAGAACAAAACTCGTCCGCCATATTGGATCCGCCATTTTGAATTTCCTCATTTTGACAAATGATCCATATCTCCGACCTCTAAAACCTCCAGATACCAATTTTTAATAGAATCTGACCATAATTACAAAACTCGTCCACCATAGTGGATCTGCCATTTTGAATTTCCAAATTTTGACGAACGAACCATAATCTCCGACCCCGAAATCCCTCAGATACTAATTTTGAATATAATTCGATCATAATTACAAAACTCGTCCGCCATATCGGATCCCCCATTTTGAATTTCCTAATTTTGATAAAAAATCATAATCTCTGACCTCGAAAACCCCCAGATACCAATTTTGAATGGAATCTGACCATAATTACAAAACTCGTTTGCCATATTGTATTCGCCATTTGAATTTTCAAAATTTGACGAAAGAATCATCATTATCTCCGACCCCGAAAACTCCCAAATACCAATTTTGAATGAAATCGGATAACAATACTCGTCCGCCATATTGGATCCGCCATCTTGAATTCTCGATTTAAAAAATAGATTACGACCGATTCTCATACCTACCGAATACGCACAAAATATTTCATACGAATCGGTCGAGCCGTTTCGGAGGAGTTCGACCACTAACACCGTGACCGGGACAGGAGAATTTTATATATTAGATAATTCATGGATTTGCAATCTGAAGATTAAATTCTGCATAATAAATGTTTCAGTAACAACTTCGACTTGAGCCTCCTCAAAGACGCTAAGTACCTCAACATGGTTGTGGGAATATCACTGGCTTTCAACTCAGACGTGAACTTCATCGCCATTCTTCGAATGGTTCTTCACAACTTGCACTTCGAAGTACCGGCCATAGCATTGGCGATGACAGTGCATTTCTGCTCGGACCTCGTTTCCAGGATATGTTTCTCGGTTATCAGCGCACTGGTATCCTTCAGGAGCAGATACGTGTTCTTGGCTGGGTCCTTTTTATCGGCCTTGTTTAGGATAGGTATGTAGGTGAACTCAAGGAATATAATATACAGGACACCGAGGTGCTTCTGAATAATCTATATTTCATGAGTCTATCATTCTTTATAACCAAGATACAGGGTGATTTATTGATTATCCTCATTTTTTCAATAAATCATAACTAATCAACCACCCTTTACTTTTGCGTGATATTTAGGCCGTATGTTCTTTGTCCACGGTGGCGACTATTGACATAATAAAAAATAGTCTTATTCCAGGACCGGCCTTGAAAACATTGATAAGTAGGATTAGAGTCAAAACAACACCCTGTATATCAGTATCTTGAAATTTAATCTACAAATTTGGAAAGAGCATGGAAAAATAAGTAGAACTGAATGTATTTGGTTTCTCCGCATATAACTTTTTTACTAAAGATATAAAAGCCGTTTCACCATAATGAATAGTTCCGACACAAAAAATCCTCAAGTTGGAAAAATCTCGATTTGAACACCCTATATCTCTGTAATCATTCCCGCTAGACCCCAAATGTGATACATCGATAAAATCAGCTCTCAGGGAGGATCTGAAAATACAATGAAATACAGAGAAATCTATTTGAAATAACATAGTTGTTGCTACTTTTCGGTAGAAGCGGCAACACTGCATTGTCGAAAATATATTAAACTAGGAGAGTGTAATCTCAAATATGAACATGCACATTTTCATAAATTTCTTGCGGTTCATGCTCGAAATAAAGATAGTGTGAGCTCGTCGTGACATACTGACATACCCTGTATACTACAAAAACCATAGAGAAATATTGTTTACAAAATCTTGGTACTCACATATTGTCTCGCATATTGTATAAACTATTTCAGAACCAACTAATAGACGAAGCGACATCCTTCTAAAAATCCAAAATTCTGCCGAATATTCTCAACAGAAATCATTCGATTGATTCACGTTTCACTCAACTTCACTTTTGACCTAACTCCACTTTTCCTAACCACATCATGAAATACACACCAAAAACTCAGTTGTATTATATTGTATACACTCTAAAACTGAGACAAAACCCTGTATATTGAAAGGAAAAGTAAATTCACTGTCAAATGACGATAATTATCACTGCAGTCTGCACTGAAACTCACACAACACCCGGTATACAAAACGAAAAAGTATACTTATTCACTAATTGAAGTACAACAATCTCGACGATTATGATTATCACGGCGTCCGCACCAACCGAAAGCCGTTCGCAAACTGATTCAACTGATTCATATTTCTTAATCATCCCCAATAAATTTCTTGGTGAGTAATTCCATACGTTATTCATAACACAATCTATCTTGATTTAGATTTTAGATCATAGATACTAAACAGCGAGCTAAACAGGGCTCGAAACACGGTGTATACCGTGTGACAACAAAATCATTGGCCAGGACGTCATTCAGTTGTTTTTTATGTTATAGAATTTTGACATTTGAATCGAAGATATCGTTCCACAAAACCCATATTTTCCTTAATAAAACAATTGAATTTACTTCCCGTTTTACCGGAAATAGACCCAGGTCAAGAATTTATTTCTTTTCTATGACATCTCATAAGTGGACATTTGTTTTTGAAATGGCGGCGCAGGAGACATTTTTTTAAAATCAATATGGCGACACTGTGACGTCATTGATCATTTTAATGGAAAACGCACGGCACTGTCTGAAATGAGAATGACTTGCAAAGAAATTTACGAAAAATGTGCATACTTATATTGGAAATTACGCTATCGAAAAGTGGCAACAACTTACTTTTATTTCCATTTCACATATCAGATTCTCTCTGTAGAACTGATTTCATCGATATATCACACTTGGGGTCTAGCCTCGAGTCTAGCGGTAATGATTTCAGAGATATATAGGGTGCTCAAAATCGAGAATTTACAATTTAACGATTTTTTTGTAGCGGTCAAAGCGGCTTACATGCCCCCTATATTGACTTTCGATTTACTATCTACTGACATTCCATTGGAACAGATACAGGGTGATCAGAATCCTGAGTCTTGAACCACCCTGTATCTGTTCCAATTGAACGTCAGTCTCAACGTCAGTAGATAGTAATTCAGAAATGAGGATAAGGACATGAAAGCCGTTTTGACCCATAATGAATAGTTTCTACACGAAAATATCCTAATGTTGAAAAATCACGAATTTGAACACCTTATATATTTCTGTAATCATTCCCGCTAGAAGTGTGATGCACCGATGAAATCAGCTCTTCAAGAAGAATATAAAATGCAATAAAATACAGGAAATTCGACTTGAAATTACAAAGTTGTTGCTACTATTCGATTGAAGCGGCAACACTGCATTGTCGAAATGAATTTCTAATGACCGATTCTCGATATAAAGATAGTGTAATGCTCGTCGTGACATACCCCGTATACTACAAAAATCATAGAGAAAGGTTTTCTACAAAATCTTGATACTTACTTATGGTATATTATACTATTTCAGAACCAACTAATAGTCGCAGCATCATCCTTCTAAAAATCCAAAATTCTGCCGAATATTCTACACAGAAATCATTCGATTGATTCACGTTTCACTTAACTTCACTTTTGACCTAACTCCACTTTTCCTAACCACATGATGAGATACACACCAAAAAAACTCAGTTGTATTATATTATATACACACTAAAACTGATACAAAACCCGGTATATTAAAAGGAAAAGTAAATTCACTGTCAAATCACAATGATTATCACTGCAGTCTGCACACAACACTCGGTATACGAAAGGAAAAAGTATATTCACTAATTGAATTACGATAATAATTTTTACTGCGTCCGCATCCACCAAAAGCCGTTCGCAAACTGATTCAACATTCAACTGATTCATATTTCTTTATCATCCCTATTAAATTCCTTGGTGAGTAATGCCATACGTTATTCATTACACAATCTATCAGTAGTATGAGGAAGCAAATAAGAATACAGGGTAGTTTTTTCATTTGGCATTTAAAAACGGCGCCTTTATTTAGATTTTAGATCATAGACACTAGCGATAACAGCGAGCTAAACAGGGTGTATACTGTGTGACAACAAAATCATTGGACAGGACGTCATTCAGTTGTTTTTATGTTATAGAATTTTGACATTTGAATCGAAGATATCGTTCCTAAAAACCAAAATTTTCCTTGAAAAAAACAATCGAAAATCACTTCCGGACATATCGCAAGTGGACAAATGGCGGCGCAAGAGTTATTTTTTCTAAAATCAATATGGCTACCCTATGACGTCATTGATCGAAATTTCGTCAAGCTACCTAATAAAATAGCGAATAAACGAAGCACTCCAATTAGTTTTTGATGAAATCACGTCCCGTGGACGTCCATTGGACGTCTGTGGGACGCACAAATGTCCCACTTGAGGACCAACTAGGCACGTCCTTGAGGGATTTCCCTGGAATTCTTCACCCGTTCACTGTTCACTAAACTAATAAAAATGTGATAATGTAAAAAAATTAACCAACTCAACCATCATCACTACCAACAGTGCCAACACTTTATGTTATTGACATAGTTTGACAAGTTTGACTACAGCTACAGCAAGCTGAATGCAATGTAGTCCATGCACTTTATCCATAGACAACAGTTTGTTTTCCCCCAGTTTGAATTTCGTATTATGTATGTCGCCCACTTCGTGAATCTCGCGAATATACCTTTATTTCTCTTCTCCAAACCTTTTTCAATACACATTGTCACTCACAGGCTAGTGAATTTTTATAGGCTCTCTGATAGGAAAATTCTTTAAACGCAGTGACATTTTGGGGCAGGTCGTATATTGAAATAGTATTCAAGAAATTTGAAATAATGTATATTTGAACTGCTCAATGTGACGTCAGGTAAACGATTTTCCGGACGGTTGTGTTTGAATGTTTTGCCAATAAGTGGCAAGTTCGAAATGCCTGCCCTTGGTTTACTCGTATTGTAGGCGGCTGTTAATTGAGATTCTTGATTTTTTTGAAATTTTGATATTTGGAAGGAGAAATATACCTACAGAGTTAGTGCAGTTTCCTCTGAAAACATTGGGTGAATGATATACATATACATATATATTCGGGAGATATATCATTAAGGCACTAGAGCACGTTATAAAATAATATTAAGTTCTTCACGTGAGTATTTCTGGCACGCTTCCAATTGGAGAAATATCCAGAGTTTACAGAATATACCATACTTACCCTTATCCATTATGGATTATACCTCCTGAAATTTCGGTAGGAATTCTTACGAACGTGAGACAGTAACTCAAATCATACGGAATCTAGTACGGATTCGATAAGAATAATATGTGTAATTGTGCAGTTCAATCAAAAAGTATATGAAACTTATTTCATCGCTACTGTGATTTTTCTGCATTAATAGTGATTCCTAATCAGAGTCGTCAAATGATCATACGATTTATAATTATTATTACCTGTTATTAATGTTATAAACAACATTCTTATACATCCAAAAGAACGAAACCGTTCAATTGAAAGAATTTCTGACGAATTCAAGGTACGATTTTACATTTGAACGTGTTTGATTCATTTTTCAACCATCGAAAACATCTTCAGTACTCAGAATGAGAAAGATAAAATTAGGTTTCCAACCAGTATTTCTTTAATTGCTCAACTCTCATGTTGAATTCGATTCCCTTCTCTCTGAAAGTTGTTGTTCGATTGCACTATAACCCAGCGAGCACAAACATCCCTGGGATGTTTTGGGATGTTTTGAAAATGTTGGCATGAAGATGTTATTTTGAGACGTAATATGCACTGACCAAAGAGGCCTTTGAAGGATATTGAAGTTCTTTTGTGGCATTTCTTTGTTTGCCTACTGAGAGGTATCCCTGGGATGTTTTGGGATGTTTCAGAAATGTAGGCCTGATGATGTTTTTTTGAGGCGTAATATGCACTTCCCAAAGAGGTCTTAGAAGGATATTGAAAGTATTGTTTTTGTTCTTTTGTGTCCTTTCTTTGTTTGCCCCACCACAACGTTTCATGCTTACGTTACAATACGATGAATTCTGATTTGTTTTCGATTTTGTTCTTCTTGTTCGCAATTGGCATTCGCTTTTGCAGCATGTCACGCTTACATCACGCTGCTAACGAACAGAAAGGAATTTGGTGAAGTTTATAGTGTTAGAAGACTTATTTAGTTTGTAATAATGACCATCAGATGCAAAATGTGTTGTTCAGTGCCTCAGTGTAATCAATATATAAAAGTACGAATTTATCAATACACAGCTTCTCCGCTGTTGCAAAATTATGCATTGTGGAGAACATTTCAAAAATTGGGAAACCTATTTCCAATTATATTATGTCTCTGTGTAGTAAGCACTACTCAGAAACCGATTAAGAAGGGCATTTCAAATCAAGAAAATATTTTTATGTTCAATCTATTTTTAATGCATTTTTTCATTCAAAGGAAATGGAATCCTAATGCAAAAGTTCATTTTGACAAAAGGCTTCAGAAAAGTACCTCGAAAATGATTTTTTACAGCGATTTAATGTGCGCAAGACGCGTTGAAAATGTTTTGTTGTGTCCATGAAAAGGCTTTAAAAAAAAATAGGGAGAAGGTAGTTTTGTGACATATCAAGGACATCTCGATAATTGCCGCCTGCGGCGGACATTGGCTGTTCTATAATAGTTCTATTCATGTGTGAACAGAACATCGCAGTGGAGGTTCAATGTCTCGAAATCTCGTACTTTTAACATCTCTGAGATGTTTTTGTGCTCGCTGGGAACATGGAATCATGGATATCATAAGATCTTATAGTGCAGAGGCAACTTCTTTCATTGAAGCATCAACTTCAGGAGACAATCAATGATTCGAGTTTGACTTATGGAAATTGTACGATTTTTTTGTTTTTATTACCTATAGGATTATTACTGATAGTTTTTTTCGTTTCAGCATTCACTCTACGTGATGATCTGCAATGGAAGCTGATAATACTTGGGATACTAGGATTCTTAAGATGTTTGATCCAAACCACATTTCCGTTGGTGATATCTGAAAAATACAAAGAAAATTTTTCAACGGCGTTTTCACTATACATGGTTGTTTGCGGTGTCATCAGTTTGATATTTGGGCCATTGCTGAGTGAGTAATTCTACAGAAATTATATTTTTGTACGAAGACAACAATTCAATCACTAATACCATAAGAGTAAAGAACATTGGGGCATTGTTGTACGTATAATGGATGAACATTGGACGTTGAGAATGAATGTTCAGGACATCCAATGGAGGTTCATAATAAGTCCAATGTACATTATAATATGAAAGAACAATGATGGACGTCCAGGACACCACTTTGGACGTACATTGTGCGTACATTGGGCGTCGATTGTCTGTCCATATTTAGTGAAATGGAAGTCCATAAAACATCCAAATAACAATCAATGTGAATTTTTCCTGGACCTCCAATGTACAGCCATTGTATATCTCAATGAATTCAGAGGATCCAGATTATACAAGGTATCCTGCATAGGATGGGATGGGTGGAACTTTGGAAAAACTGTTAATTCACAAGAAACTGGGTCAGAAATTATTTTCCTATTCGAGGAGTTCTCAATCACATATAATTAATATACATTGTGAAATTGAAATAGATCGCACGAAATAATTCGGTAATAAAGTTCAATAGGAAGGGAGATGATTATAAAAAATTAATAACCTTCTTCTTTGCACAAAAAGGTCTTCGAAATGGGCTACATTGACACTGTGCAGCACATTCGTTATTCCCATCTACATCAGAATCATATTCACCACCTTCCATCAGTTGTACTCTCTTATAATATTTATTCAAACGATTTCTAGAACTCATATTCACCAGTATACGAGAAGGCAAGTTCTGGATGTTGCATTATTGAATGTCGTTGTGGAAATTCCTACTGAGTAGAAAATGTTCTTGAATCCTTTCTAATTAGGAACTCAAGTGTACTATTCAAATCAGGGCTAACATTCTATTTGATTGTTCCTCAGAATATGCTACTGTGAAGTTGATGAAACTGATAGATTACCTAATGCTGAATATACTGAAATACAACTAAAAATCTGACTCACATCTCACCTTTCGTGAAAAACAATTGAAAAAGAAATCTGAATTTCACATTATTCTTTCTGAATAACAGTAGAGTGTACTAATAATAAATAATAATAATAATAATATAAGTTTATTCAAAAACGTTTACAAAATATACATTGGAATGAACATATAGGTAATCTGAATAACTCATAACTTTTATCCAACACATGACAGTTATGACTGTCATTATTGATGTCATTTTAGACGAGCAAACTATCAAATAACACACTAGTGTGTTATAATCCATAACCCACTAGTGAGTAATGGATTATAACTCACGTTCATATTTGAAGTCGTATTCCATTCATTTATTACTATTACAAGCAGGATTCACATTGCTATTGAAATTAATGAAAACGCTAAAGGTTCATTAGAATTTGAAGTAATTTTAAAATTCGTTGGTTCATTGGAACCAGATGCTTCCATATCGGTACAGCTGCTGGAAGACTCCGACACATTAGAACCTTGTATTTCTTCTGCAATTTGTATTTTGTTATGCACCGATTCTTCTAGGTTACTTCTGCTACCGTCGAGGACTTCCATCCTCCGCGAAGCTTCAAAGTAGTTATGTTAGCCTGCATTGGCCGAAAGAGCGCTGGTTCTTTCAAGTTCTGAAACTTTGCAACTCTTGAAGGTATCTTCGCCAACGTATTCATTCCCACACACTGGCTGGTACACCTCCCCTTTGTCTTGAATATTTTCTATTTTCAAATTGACCAATCATCGCATCTACAAGCACCGCTAATCCCCACTTTCATCAACAAGTACTCGTTATCGGGAGCTTCGTTCAAAAACTTCTCTATTTCAGGTCGTTCTGATGTCTTGGACTTCTTTGGTTTGTATCCCTATGATTTGCTTTTCAAAAAGCTCGTTAGTTTACCATATTTTGAAATGTCGATTTTTTTATAAAGGTGAATAGTCGAGCGAAGCATCGAGTATTTGGTCCATAACGACGATGGGGCTAATTTTTTTTTGCAAATGTAAAAAATAAGTCGATAGAACGTTTTCATCGATACCTTTTATCTTCCGTGAATTCATCCAAGACTCAAACATTTTGAACTCCTTGTAAGCATCTCGGGATTTTCCTGGCAATATCTGCATCGCTGCTTCTTTCTATATACGTTTTTTTTTTTCAATAAAGTTTACTTATTCTACAGGGAAAACTGAAAGTGTCAAAATTTATTCGAACATTTGCTAACAATCACGATGTCTGTCAAGTAATTCTGACATTTATAGGGTACTGAGACGCAGGTAGCTCTGATTTGATCACAAATCTTATCAATAATTATTATCTCATAAAAAACGATTTCTTCCTCTTGTTGGATAAACCATTGTATGATGCCACTCTTGTGTTATGTTTCCTAAGTCACTTGAGAATTTATACCTGTCGGCCTAACGGCCTCGTGGGATAATTATTTCTCGCGTGGCTTATTTTCAACATAACACACTAGTATAACAAATAAATATTTCTTTCAGGTTACGTGAAAGCTGTTACCCAGAACGACGTGATGATCATTCATGTATTGACAGCTGCTTGCTTGGTTTGCAGTTTCACTTGGACAGTTGAACTTGTGATTACAAGGTTCTCTCGAAAAAAATAATGTTCTCCAATGGACTTCACTTCCCTTTTAATAAATACAAATGAAATGTTCCACATTCGTATTATCATAACAGAAACCCTCTTTCGCCTATTTTTTGTTGATGGTCATGAATCATAATAGCAGAATATAAAGGATGGGAGAATAGGATAGCATAAAACTCAATTTAGGAAAAAAAGCAAGAACGCAGATAAAAATAATGGCGCTACAAGATATTCAGAAACGGCTTTCCCGAATTTCATTAGTCATATCGGACTTCTACATCTTTCTCGAAATGTTTTCGAGAATTCATCTCTGATTGTTATACAGGATGAAACGTTCGATTTGGAACCCTTATTTTTTGAAATAATTTTATGCACCAGACTTTCATCATCGAGTATGGAGCTTACAGTATTTTCGTTCATTATACATGGTGGTCACTCATATGTTTTACATCAAAAGTAGCTGAAGTGTTGAAATATGAAAGTTTCAATTATTGGTTTAATATTTTATCAATTATTCTCAATTTGTGACGGTTTCATTCACTCTAAAGATTCTGCTATAGTGATTTATTAGTCTTTCATTGCATCACAGAAAGGAAATGGTGTTAATTTAATTTCCAATGAAAACAACTGAATGTACCTAAGTATTTTTCTGTTCTCTCGAATGAAGTCACGAAATGACAAAGTTTAAGAATTGTATTTGCAAATGTTGACGAGCCAATCTAACACGGTATTTAGTTGAAACAACTAATGTATTTTGAATCTGACAGTTATTATCAATGAGTACCATTTTATAATTCAAGATTTTGGTAGCATAAAAATGACTCCAACAGGGCAACCAAATTAAAACAACCAAAAATTTAGGACACGTGTATAAGGACGCAAATTTTCATAGGTAAGTATATTCAGCCTGTGACCGTTTTGATTAGCTTCCATTGCTGGTAGCAATATTTCACATTGTAAAATCACAGTTGAGTTCAACATTCATAGGCGCCCAGCAATAATGATTAAGTAGGGAATATACACACACCGGCAAAAAAAACCGGCCACCATAAAATTTCGCCCTGTAACTTTTTTAATTCTTGTCCGATTTTGGTGAAATTTCGACCAAACCGTATATTCATGTTTCGGAATATTTTCTTGAATATTAGGTCCCGATGAAAGCTGATGGTTTGATCATTATACAGGGACAAACAAAAGTTACTCTTTTACCCTTAACTTCCTATTGCCCTGTGGAAAAAGTGAGTGGTTAAACTTGGCTTCATTATGTTTAGGATTGGAGTGTGATTCTTTCTTAACACAATTGTTCTTGATCCACGTCGATAACAACTTTTTAACAGAAGATTAAAGTGTTTTAAGAAAGTATCGATTTCTTTCATTTTTATTAACAATTATTCAGAACGATTCTTCAACCTTCTGCTTCATCATGTTTTGAATTGAAGTTTGATCCTTTTTCGTCCCTTCTCAGCATATTGGTTCAAGATTCACGTCAATATCTCCTTTTAAAGAGAATATACAAGTGTTCGAAGAAAGTATGGATTTTTTAAATTTTTGTCAACAATAATTCAAAACCTCTAGAGTATCTTAGGGATGAACTTCAGAGGCTCATTCGCATTCTTCCGGCCTTGTCAGAGAGCTACAATTGAAGAATTTTAGTTATTCTCCAAGTCCACTTGCGAAATTTGATCAACTCGATGACAGGGCGGTTAAATGCTGTAATTCAAACTCGAGGAGGGCATACTGGTTATTGACTACAGGTCTGCTTTTTGTTTGTTTTTTGTATTTAAGGTTTTTTTAGGTAAGTGCTATAAAAATGAGGTAGAAATTAGTTATATTGATTCCTCAAGTTGTTAATCGATAAGTTGATGTAGGATCTGATTATTGTTGAAAATAATTGAAAAATGCCATAATTCAATAGTTCAATAAGTCAATTTTGCCACATGGCGTTAAGAAGTAAAGGGTGAAATAGTAATTTTGGTATTTCCCTGTATAATGATCAAATCATCAGTTTTTCACAGGAACTAAAATTCAGACTAACATTCCGGAACATGTATCTACGATTTGATCGACATTTCACAAAAATCTGACAAGGATTAAAAAAGTTACAGGGGGAACAATTTGGTCAAAATTTTTGGTGGCCGTTTTTTTTGCCGGTGAATGTATATTATGGAAAATATTCAAAAAATGAGAACAAAACACAATCCAGTTATGAATGGGCCCCTGCGGGGCCCCAATGCCCCGGGGCCCCGGTGCACCGCACCGAACTGCCCGACGATAGCTACGCCACTGGTGTGATGTGATTTCATTTCATTTTTTTCGAAAGGGTTCCGAAGAAAATAATATACTCAAACACTATGTTTTTCATTCTTTTGACACCCTGCAATTACTACTGTTAGTTTCTTTCTTATTTCAAGAATAATTCAATAACTATTCAAACCGAAAATAGATGTTTTGTTCACATCGATGATTCCTCCTGATGTAGGTATGTTGTAATTTATGATCGTTATTCTCATGAAATATTTTGTGAGTCATAGAATCCTAAATATGGCCATTTTTACACCTACTTAGTGTTATAAATCATAAAATGAAAGAAGTTCTGAGAAGTAGCGTTAAAATATAACAAACGCTGTCTAGAGAATTCAATAAATAAAAGTACCTAATAAACTTCGACAACGAAGTTAGACTGTTAGAGGCAATGCAGGTTCGGACGCGAAAAATATAAATTACACGAGAAAAAGCCGGAATTAAGTAATTCCTCCGGTTATGTGACCTGCAGGAGAAAAGAGAATTAAATTTCATTGTGTGGAAAACGTCTGTGGAATCAGCAAAGAAATACGACGCAGAGAAAAGCGATGAGGAACGGTCGCCAATCGAGCAGAATCTGATGCAGTTTCTGGAAAACCGGAAATGATAAATGTCCATTTCATCGAAACGTTCAATGTTTGTGAGATCCCTCATAATAGTATCTTTCTCATCTACCAAACTGATATTCAACGATATCATATGCACAAAGCTGAAATAGCAGTGTTATAGAGAACGGCGTTACGCAATTTGAAACTCTGTCATTTTTATTCGATTCCGTAGTGAAGTTTGGAGAGACTGATGTGATCTTTTAATTGGGTAAAAAATATACCTATCCAAAATAGCACAATAATTTTTGAAAAAGCATAAAAAATAAATACCAATTTATTGCATAGATTTGTGCCGAGAAATTCCTTCAAAAGCTGGGGTGAAAATAAATGCGTGATCCATGTCCATAGAAATAAAATGAAGATTCATTTTCTTTAAATACTTCATGATACATATGTTTGACACACTCTACACTCTGTATATTGAGAACAATATGTATTCTCGGTCCAGGAAGGCGTAGTTTTCAGTGATACAAAGTGTGTCAAAACTGTGAAACATGTATTATGAGATATTTGAAGAAAACGAACCTTCATTCTTATTTAATGTCCATGGACATGGATCACACATTGATTTTCATCCCTGTTTTTAAAGGAATGTTCAGCACAAATTCATACAATGAATTGGTATATTTATTTTTTCCGCGGAAACAAAGTGAAATATCAAAACAATTCAGATCACCAAAATGTGGTATTTTCAGTTGATCAATAGGATATAAAGATAAAGAATTCAAAAAAATCAGTAGCGCACATTTTATTGAAAATAATATTCGGTACGGTGTCCCCGGGACGCCACTGGATTTCTCAATACCAATTCAATTATAGCTAAATCAGCCCCTCATAGCAAACATAGTTGCCAAATTTCAAGAAAATCAGTGGAAGAATATTTGGGATATTCATAAAAAACCGTTTTTTTTTTTCAGAGTTCAACACACTGTATCTTGAGAACTATGCAATTCCGGACCCACGTATATATGGAATAAATTTCATGTTTTCTCATGCAAAATCACCCCCTTGATTTTTCGCGCATAATTTCTGGACACCCTGTATATATAGTTTGCTTATGTTCCCTTTTACGCCGTTTTCGACTAAATTATTGCTGCACTACTGAAATTTTTGCGATATTCTCATAATATAATCTTATTTTCTATTTTGCGATTCGCATTTGTTTATTTAAGGAGTGTCAAAATATAGTACAGATGGAAAACTACAACTTGAATATTTGATGTTTTTTCCACCTCGTATAGTTGAAGTTGTAGGTAGGTCAAAATATGCGGAGACACCCTGAACGATTGAGCAATATTGTGACATCCCGTCATTCCAACAGATACCAATATAGGTATTTGTGGAATACATAAATTTTCACTTGTAATATCACGAGAGCTTCAATTATTTCCGGAATAACCCGGATATTGATTGAAGCTAAAATGGTATTCGGTAAGAAAATTTCACTCTAAACAGTTTCGATCAATTTAAAAGAATTTCAACCACACTTAGATGATTTAGTAGAAAATGATGGTTGTTTGTGATGAAATGTAAGAACTAACGTATAGTAACAACATGTGTTTTTGTAAATTTCGACTTTGCAAGTATACCTACATAATATTATATGGTAAACTGTTGATAAATGGTCTTTTTCTATTGACTTATAGGATGAACTCAGAATAATCTGACGTTGAATGTAAATGTCATTCAACCTGAAAACGTCAAAAAATTTCCAGTGTAATTTCATGCTCCGTCTCCCAAGGAGGAGGAAAAAACTTCAAAGAAATTTGTTTAGTTGCTATGGTAACGATACGAAATACAGGCTTCAAATTGATCAAAAATGTTTGGTGTGAAATTCTCACCAAAGTAACCTTATTAATTTTCATTGTTTCAATCGTCTTTGTGATAATACTCAGAAGGATTGATATTCTTTTCAACCCACACATTCTCTTGTACGAGTCGAATAGAGTAGAGACCAATCAACACAATCGAACATGCATTGTTGGTTGCATAGTCGTGGCCATGCATTGATCAGTGGCGAGCCCAAGGGAAGGCGGGAATAACTAAGGCCAAAATACATGTTTACACCCAATGAAATCAATGTAAACACCTATATTGAGTTCATCGTTTATACCTGGCAACCTCATCATAGTTAGACCAGGAATAATAAAGGCAGAGATTATACATAATGTGTATAATCTCTGATAAAGGCAACCCTACGTTTGCCTATTCTATAGGTTGGTGTCAAATTTTTTCATCAAACTTATATCGGTAGAAATGGAAAGAAATATCAGATAAGGAACCATCACAACTGAAACATAAATGCCTTGAATGTACAGAAATGCCTATTACGAGTTGCCTATACGCCAGGCGGTAGAGTAGTCGGCGGTGAGGTGCCACTTTAGGCCCGCATAATCGGGCAGTAAAGAGCTTCTTTACGCCTAGTCGGGCATAATA